ATATATATATATATATATATATATATATATATATATATATATATATATGTTTTTTTTCTACCAGCTGAAGGCCTTTTTTAAGAGTCTCTATACTCCAGTTAACGATTAATCGATTACTAAATTAGTTGGTGATGATTTCCATCCTCGATTCATCAAGATTAGGTGTTTCAGCTCTAATATATACATATAGACATTGAGGTTACTGTAATCTATGTTTAATTATTTATTCCGCAGATGGAGTAATTCTTGTTTCTATTTTAAATAAATTTGGGATTTAAAAGTTAGTTTAGAGTCTATTAGGATGTCGAGGTATTTGAATTCTGACACTACTTTTATTTCTTCCTCTGTCACATAAATATCTTCCACATGATTTGCACTCTTGGGTTTAGAAAAGTACATTGAAACAGTTTTATTTACAGTAAGTTTTAAGCAGGATTGATTCATCCAATCAGAGACATGGACCTTAGACTGTTAGTTTTTCAGCAGCCTGTTTGGTGTTTTTACCATGAGTATAAATGACAGTATCGTCTGCATATATCTGGATACAAACATCTGAACAAACTGAGGGCAGGTTGTTTATATAAGGAGAAAAAAGCAGAGGATCCAGGATAGAACCTTGAGGTCAAACAGCGATGATCATTTAAACATTTTTCTTTTTTCGGAATCAGAATCTACCAAGTCCTGTTGGAAGATGTAATTACTTTCTAGCTAAATCTTTCAGTGTGAAATGTTCTAATCTTCTTTAGGTGGCTGCAATGACTTTGGTCTCTATACAGTTATTTCTTTAACCATATTTTGTCTCACTATAATACTTACAATCAATCTTTTTCGACACTAGCTTGTAGGGAAACTTGTCTCCGAGTATCTGGATGACCTGAAGGATGGAAACGAAAATCAGATCTATGAACTGTACATTTGAAGCACAGCTCATACATTTAGAGCTTCATGTAGCAAACTGTGTGAAACGAACCAAATGTGATTCATACACTTTACGAAACAAAAACAAATGATAAAGTCTAACTCCTACTTCTTCTAGTTTCTTTGCGTTTCCAGTTACAAAGACCACAGATCTTCCTGCAGGGACAGCCATGGCGGAACCTAAAAGCCCGGACAGTGAGCGCTCCTCTTTTAACCAATGAAATCACGCTCCTCAACTCACAGCGAATCAGCAAGCAGAACACATCCCCGCCTACTAGGAGCTAGCCAATCACCGAGAGGTACTGCCAGAAATGTTGTCCGGGTAGAAAACTGAGCCCTGGGTGCCATGCGGAGAGGAAAAACAGTCCTGGGAGATATTTGTGAAAACGGGCCCACATCGCAGAGGACAGGATGAGCCTTTTACCTCGCACTGCTGAGGAGTTCAGCTCTGCAGAGTACTGGGAGAGGTTCTTCAAGAAGCGAGGAGAGAGGGCGTTTGAGTGGTACGGAGATTATAACAAACTCTGTGGGGTGCTCCATAAATATATCAAAGTGCAGGATAAGGTAGGAGAAAATGAGTCCTGTTCTATTTTAAAGGAAAAGTCCGCTCATTTTCAGGATTCAAACTTCTAAAAGTACTTTAAATATGAAATTATTACATCCTGTTCATTAAGTTATAAGCGCTTTTAATGAACAGTCATTTTCATTTGAATGTGCTTTACTGGAGGCATCCATGTTTGTCAAAGAACACTACTGC